GAGAAAACACCTTCTTGAATCTTGCAATATTCTTTTGGATGTTCGAGTTGCTACACTGCCATCTGATTTTTGTTACCAAATTTTATTTGGTGATAGTTTTGCAATGCCAACTTTGTATAAATTATATAATTTCTTTGTTCATGTATCAACTTAAAATAAAAAAATTTTTTAACTCCCTTTGTAATAACACTTGTTATATCAAATAAAGATCGATTGATTGATATTATGATAACATGACACGTGGGGTGGAGGGCGTCTCGGGAAAACTTTCAATGGGAAACTGACCCCTAGTTGAAAGAAAAGAAAACTCGGAAAAATCTGTGTTGTCAGTCCATCGGCGAAGCGCAAACTCACGAGAAACTACAAATGTTTAGTGGTTTTTCCACTCAGACACTGGTAGGCAACTCTAAAAGGCCTTCAATCCTGTTCATTGTGGGTTGGATCATACCCACAATGGTGAGGGAAGGGGGCTCAACGTATCTGAGATAATGCTTTCATGAAAAATTCTTGGAGAGTTGCTCGCCCGGATTCGATCCCAACTCCTCCAGAGAAGTGGGCCAAGAATTTTACTGCCATGACCATCACCTTTTATTTATTATTACACAGGGACTAATTCAAAAATTAAAAATAGAAAATAAAACCAAAAATTAATCATTAAAATTTCTATCTACTTCAATTAACGCGTAACAAAAAAACTTAACAATTGACCTTTCATTGTCTGGCTCTTTTATTGTCAAGACTGAGTTTTTCAATTGATTAAAAGATGTTTTTTGATTCTTTCGATTATTAACCATTGCTTCAATCTTTGGAGTAAGAGATTTTTCACATTTTATTGTTATTTATGCAAATAAGAAATTTATTCGAAAAATTAATGGCTTTAAAATGAAATTGCTCGGTGTAAATGATAATTAATTTAATTTGATTTAAAGATTTCGACTCTTCGATATTTCTGAATGTAGTTTTTAAGCAAACATTTTTCTGTTTTGCTGTATTCTATAGTCATTTTGGTGTTGAAATAAAAGGGTTGGATTTGCATTAGAGTTTAAGGTCTCATGCTAAGTAAATACATCTTAGGGCTTTTTCGTTTACTGTTACTTTGAAAAGTAAACAGAATACGTTTTTAACTCTATCAACCTAATTTAATAGACTTATTTGTCATCTGTAGCCTTTTCGATTCACTACACATAATAGATGAATTTATTTATCTATTGTCATAAATTAATAAATTAGTAGTTAATAGATATAATTTATAAGTTGTTAAATTTTATTATATCTTGTTTTATAATAAGATGCTTATTGAAGATTTAAGTTTAATTTGTAAAAACCTCTTTCCCTCACTCAAATTAATGTAATTTCACGAGGCCCTTAAGCGATGCTTTGGTTAGCTTACAGTTTGATAAGAAATTTTGTTACACACTAAAAGTCTTTAAAGTGTAATAATTTCTTTAAAAGTTTACATAAATATTTATTGGCAAATTTTTGATTTTAAAATTAGAAGAAAAGTTTCGAAATTTAACATTTATTGTGTTATATGAATTTTCTCTTTCTATATTCAGGGCGAGATCGGATGGACGTGCGGGATTCGTGAATCCAAATAATTTGGATCATTTTAAATTTCGAGGAAAGAAAAACGGCCTCTTGGAGCAGGATGAACCCGCACAAAGTGAATTTGGCAAGTCCATATTGGAAAATCATATCAATCCTACTTATAAACAAACTTTGGAGAAAATTCGGCCATATTAACAGATTTCGTGCGATCGCTTTAACAGGTAAGTTATATTACTGTTTATATGTAATACAGTTGTATCATGTTGATCTTAATTACTTGTATTCTACTTTTGTCCACTTTCTTGGATATTCTTGTCTCATTAAAACAAGTCCAAAGTGGACGTCAGTTTGGACTTGTTTTAATAAGGAAAAAGAAACGCATAATTTCCAATTAAAATATATTTACTTTAACGTAATCTTATATGCTATTACACTACAATCGAACATTTCGGACCAACGTTTCTTCTCAGCAGACGTTATCTTTTTTCTGTTTATATTTTAATATGCCCATACAGCTGCAGAGTGAGATTGTCTGAGCTGGATAATTACTCCGTGGGATGATGGGTTGGTAATTCGTTTAACGAATTAGTGATGTTTAAGTGAATAAAACTGTGTTGTAATAAACAGGAAAATATTTAGGGAAAGTTTTGCTGGGAAAATTTTAAAAATGGCATTTTAAAAGTCTATTTAGAAAATGTTGAAAAAACATATGGGTATATTAAACTATAAACATAAAAAAATAACGTCTGCTGAAGAAGAACGTTGACCCGAAATGCTCGATTGTAGTAGAATATAAAATCTTACATGTACAGTACAGTACAGTATGTACAGTACAGTAAATATATTTTAATTCGAAATTGTGTTTTCTTCCCTCATTATAACAAATCTTAGTACACAAGAACGTCCAAGGTGGACAAAAGTATAATACAGTTATATTATAATGTAGTACGGAATGAGCCGCTGAACGAAGGGGACGTACTCTGAGAATACTGTATACCACATTTATATGAAAGTACAATATAGTAAGGAATGGTCATATGGACCATTCCTTACTATAAGTGATTTCAGATACATCTGAAATCACTTACGTAAATTTATATAGTATATTCTACCATTCGTATAAATATTATATATCTCAACTAGCAGACCCCGCCACGCCTTGTTGTGGCTCAAAATGTATCTATTATAAATGTATAACACTTCCCCCGTGGGGGAAAATTTTTCGAAAATTTTTCTTGGGTTTAAATATGCTAATAATATAATAAAAAATTATCAAAATATATTGAAATGAAAAAAAAATCACAAAATAAAAATTTTTAAGTCAGCGAAAGCCACCTGGACGCAAATATGTGAAACAGACGATGTAGAAGACGTTACCGTCAAGTGCTGGCATCTGTTGGCGGAAAATTTTAAAAAATTCGAATTTTTACAGGGTGTCTACAGATTAGCACCCTGGTCAACTAAGAGGTGGGCGAAATAGCCATTTCAGCTAACGCTCAACCATCCCGCCAGAGGGTGGCCAATAAAGCAAAGAACTTGAGAGCCTATAATGAGAGAGTGGTCATACGGACAGCTGCCGCCATGTTTTTTCTAAACTGCTTATTTAGCCGCAACCACATACCATACTGTACTTAGTTAGGAAAACGAAAAAAATCTAGCAGTTATTTAAATGGAAATTCGGTCAGAAGAAAATAAATGTCGTTTTCGAGTTTTAGAATTAATTTTTACTATTATTATTTGTTTATTTAAGAATCGTACAACCCAAAAGAAAATAGTAGTAAAATAAAAAGAAGTTTCGTTAAAAGCGCATAACAGATTACCGAGCTATAGCCGTATTTTCTGTCTTCTGTGGAGCCTTCCGTTATAGAAAGTCCACCATGTTGTTATTCACTAATAGCGACGCCATTCTTTAACGTTGCTATGATTACTGTCTTAAAGCGTCAGCTCTCAGCTTATTCCGCCGGACCAAGGTTCAACTCAGAGATGATTCGAGTTTTTCGAGGTGAAATCTACCCAGATATGTTAGGCTTCAGTCCCCACCGTTTAGCCGATTCCGTGCGGGCCTTTTTGAACTTGCGATGGGTAAAAAATAGGCCCTCTTAGTCAGTGGCGACTAAAGATTCAGTCTTGGGAAAGCCAAGTTAAACAGATAAAAAAAATTTTAATGAGAATTCAATAAAATTCCCACGTTCGCTGATTCATTAGTAGGATAGAAATAGAAGACACGACACAATATAAATAAAAAATAAATTTCAATTAAGAAAAGATATTTGGAAAATTTTCTAGTGTTTGTTTTCATTATTTCTTTTGAGGGTGCCAAGCCCATTTGCCCTCTATCTGAGCGTACTATTAGTACGAAGTGGGGCTATTACTAAACGATTACTAAATAATGTTGAATTGTCCTCTAGTTATATGTATTTAAGTGAAACTTTGTTCTTTTTGGATTGTGATCAACGACTAAGAGACTTATATTGGCTAAAAGATGTTCATCATTTGAGTGAAAGGTTGGAACAATGAACTTTTTTTTTTAATAGAATGTGGAGTCTCGCGCCTTATTTACTGTCTAATTTGAGTTATAAAATAATGTCATTTGCTGCACAATTTACACTAAATATAAATAGATTTTCGATAAACCTAAATGGGAAAATATTTAATGTCTTATGTGACTCCGAATGTTCTTTTTGTGGAACAACAGCGGTGGAAATGAGAAAACACCTTCTTGAATCTTGCAATATTCTTTTGGATGTTCGAGTTGCTACACTGCCATCTGATTTTTGTTACCAAATTTTATTTGGTGATAGTTTTGCAATGCCAACTTTGTATAAATTATATAATTTCTTTGTTCATGTATCAACTTAAAATAAAAAAATTTTTTAACTCCCTTTGTAATAACACTTGTTATATCAAATAAAGATCGATTGATTGATATTATGATAACATGACACGTGGGGTGGAGGGCGTCTCGGGAAAACTTTCAATGGGAAACTGACCCCTAGTTGAAAGAAAAGAAAACTCGGAAAAATCTGTGTTGTCAGTCCATCGGCGAAGCGCAAACTCACGAGAAACTACAAATGTTTAGTGGTTTTTCCACTCAGACACTGGTAGGCAACTCTAAAAGGCCTTCAATCCTGTTCATTGTGGGTTGGATCATACCCACAATGGTGAGGGAAGGGGGCTCAACGTATCTGAGATAATGCTTTCATGAAAAATTCTTGGAGAGTTGCTCGCCCGGATTCGATCCCAACTCCTCCAGAGAAGTGGGCCAAGAATTTTACTGCCATGACCATCACCTTTTATTTATTATTACACAGGGACTAATTCAAAAATTAAAAATAGAAAATAAAACCAAAAATTAATCATTAAAATTTCTATCTACTTCAATTAACGCGTAACAAAAAAACTTAACAATTGACCTTTCATTGTCTGGCTCTTTTATTGTCAAGACTGAGTTTTTCAATTGATTAAAAGATGTTTTTTGATTCTTTCGATTATTAACCATTGCTTCAATCTTTGGAGTAAGAGATTTTTCACATTTTATTGTTATTTATGCAAATAAGAAATTTATTCGAAAAATTAATGGCTTTAAAATGAAATTGCTCGGTGTAAATGATAATTAATTTAATTTGATTTAAAGATTTCGACTCTTCGATATTTCTGAATGTAGTTTTTAAGCAAACATTTTTCTGTTTTGCTGTATTCTATAGTCATTTTGGTGTTGAAATAAAAGGGTTGGATTTGCATTAGAGTTTAAGGTCTCATGCTAAGTAAATACATCTTAGGGCTTTTTCGTTTACTGTTACTTTGAAAAGTAAACAGAATACGTTTTTAACTCTATCAACCTAATTTAATAGACTTATTTGTCATCTGTAGCCTTTTCGATTCACTACACATAATAGATGAATTTATTTATCTATTGTCATAAATTAATAAATTAGTAGTTAATAGATATAATTTATAAGTTGTTAAATTTTATTATATCTTGTTTTATAATAAGATGCTTATTGAAGATTTAAGTTTAATTTGTAAAAACCTCTTTCCCTCACTCAAATTAATGTAATTTCACGAGGCCCTTAAGCGATGCTTTGGTTAGCTTACAGTTTGATAAGAAATTTTGTTACACATTAAGAGAAAAGTCTTTAAAGTGTAATAATTTCTTTAAAAGTTTACATAAATATTTATTGGCAAATTTTTGATTTTAAAATTAGAAGAAAAGTTTCGAAATTTAACATTTATTGTGTTATATGAATTTTCTCTTTCTATATTCAGGGCGAGATCGGATGGACGTGCGGGATTCGTGAATCCAAATAATTTGGATCATTTTAAATTTCGAGGAAAGAAAAACGGCCTCTTGGAGCAGGATGAACCCGCACAAAGTGAATTTGGCAAGTCCATATTGGAAAATCATATCAATCCTACTTATAAACAAACTTTGGAGAAAATTCGGCCATATTAACAGATTTCGTGCGATCGCTTTAACAGGTAAGTTATATTACTGTTTATATGTAATACAGTTGTATCATGTTGATCTTAATTACTTGTATTCTACTTTTGTCCACTTTCTTGGATATTCTTGTCTCATTAAAACAAGTCCAAAGTGGACGTCAGTTTGGACTTGTTTTAATAAGGAAAAAGAAACGCATAATTTCCAATTAAAATATATTTACTTTAACGTAATCTTATATGCTATTACACTACAATCGAACATTTCGGACCAACGTTTCTTCTCAGCAGACGTTATCTTTTTTCTGTTTATATTTTAATATGCCCATACAGCTGCAGAGTGAGATTGTCTGAGCTGGATAATTACTCCGTGGGATGATGGGTTGGTAATTCGTTTAACGAATTAGTGATGTTTAAGTGAATAAAACTGTGTTGTAATAAACAGGAAAATATTTAGGGAAAGTTTTGCTGGGAAAATTTTAAAAATGGCATTTTAAAAGTCTATTTAGAAAATGTTGAAAAAACATATGGGTATATTAAACTATAAACATAAAAAAATAACGTCTGCTGAAGAAGAACGTTGACCCGAAATGCTCGATTGTAGTAGAATATAAAATCTTACATGTACAGTACAGTACAGTATGTACAGTACAGTAAATATATTTTAATTCGAAATTGTGTTTTCTTCCCTCATTATAACAAATCTTAGTACACAAGAACGTCCAAGGTGGACAAAAGTATAATACAGTTATATTATAATGTAGTACGGAATGAGCCGCTGAACGAAGGGGACGTACTCTGAGAATACTGTATACCACATTTATATGAAAGTACAATATAGTAAGGAATGGTCATATGGACCATTCCTTACTATAAGTGATTTCAGATACATCTGAAATCACTTACGTAAATTTATATAGTATATTCTACCATTCGTATAAATATTATATATCTCAACTAGCAGACCCCGCCACGCCTTGTTGTGGCTCAAAATGTATCTATTATAAATGTATAACACTTCCCCCGTGGGGGAAAATTTTTCGAAAATTTTTTCTTAGTGTACATTCTCTTGACGTACCCTATTAAAACGCAATCAAAAGCGCAAAAACCCGCATCTAAAATAGTATAATAGAAGCCAAGTTTTTCACAGTAAGCCTTAATCTTGTCCTTCTCCCCCGCGGGGGAAATATCGAAAAATCCCTTCTTTGTGTACATTCTGTTGACGTACTCTATTAAAACGCAATCAAAAACGCAAAAAACCGCATCTAAAATAGTATAATAGAAGTGAAGTTCTTCACAGTAAGCCTTAATCCTGTCCCTCTCCCCCCGGGGGGAATATCGAAAAATCCCTTCTTTGTGTACATTCTGTTGACGTACTCTATTAAAACGCAATCAAAAACGCAAAAAACCGCATCTAAAATAGTATAATAGAAGTGAAGTTCTTCACAGTAAGCCTTAACCCTGTCCCTCTCCCCCTGGCGGGAATATCGAAAAATCCATTCTTTGTGTACATTCTGTTGACGTACTCTATTAAAACGCAATCAAAAACGAAAAAACCGCATCTAAAATAGTATAATAGAAGTGAAGTTCTTCACAGTAAGCCTTAACCCTGTCCCTCTCCCCCTGGCGGGAATATCGAAAAATCCATTCTTTGTGTACATTCTGTTGACGTACTCTATTAAAACGCAATCAAAAACGAAAAAACCGCATCTAAAATAGTATAATAGAAGTGAAGTTCTTCACAGTAAGCCTTAACCCTGTCCCTCTCCCCCTGGCGGGAATATCGAAAAATCCATTCTTTGTGTACATTCTGTTGACGTACTCTATTAAAACGCAATCAAAAACGAAAAAACCGCATCTAAAATAGTATAATAGAAGTGAAGTTCTTCACAGTAAGCCTTAACCCTGTCCCTCTCCCCCTGGCGGGAATATCGAAAAATCCATTCTTTGTGTACATTCTGTTGACGTACTCTATTAAAACGCAATCAAAAACGCAAAAAACCGCATCTAAAATAGTATAATAGAAGTGAAGTTCTTCACAGTAAGCCTTAACCCTGTCCCTCTCCCCCTGGCGGGAATATCGAAAAATCCATTCTTTGTGTACATTCTGTTGACGTACTCTATTAAAACGCAATCAAAAACGCAAAAAACCGCATCTAAAATAGTATAATAGAAGTGAAGTTCTTCACAGTAAGCCTTAACCCTGTCCCTCTCCCCCTGGCGGGAATATCGAAAAATCCATTCTTTGTGTACATTCTGTTGACGTACTCTATTAAAACGCAATCAAAAACGCAAAAAACCGCATCTAAAATAGTATAATAGAAGTGAAGTTCTTCACAGTAAGCCTTAACCCTGTCCCTCTCCCCCTGGCGGGAATATCGAAAAATCCATTCTTTGTGTACATTCTGTTGACGTACTCTATTAAAACGCAATCAAAAACGCAAAAAACCGCATCTAAAATAGTATAATAGAAGTGAAGTTCTTCACAGTAAGCCTTAACCCTGTCCCTCTCCCCCTGGCGGGAATATCGAAAAATCCATTCTTTGTGTACATTCTGTTGACGTACTCTATTAAAACGCAATCAAAAACGCAAAAAACCGCATCTAAAATAGTATAATAGAAGTGAAGTTCTTCACAGTAAGCCTTAATCCTGTCCCTCTCCCCCCGGGGGGAATATCGAAAAATCCCTTCTTTGTGTACATTCTGTTGACGTACTCTATTAAAACGCAATCAAAAACGCAAAAAACCGCATCTAAAATAGTATAATAGAAGTGAAGTTCTTCACAGTAAACCTTAATCCTGTCCCTCTCCCCCTGGGGGGAATATCGAAAAATCCCTTCTTAGTGTACATTCTGTTGACACACTCTATTAAAATGCAATCAAAAATGCAAAAAAATCGCATCTAAAATAGTATAAATAGAAGCAGAGTTCTTTACGGTAACCTTCCCCGTAAAACTTACCGTAAAGAAATGTCCACCCCCCATGTTTAACGGAATAATATACAGCCTATGTCCATCTTGAAGTTCCATTCTAAATATTGGTGAAAAAATTTTTGAAATCGGATGAGTAGTTTTGGAGATTACCTGCTGCATACAAACTAACATACAAACATTACCTCTTTATAATATTAGTATAGATTTTCTCTTGTTTTTAGACATCAAAAATATAAATAGGATCCCTTAACGCTTATCATGATATGTGGGGCAACATCACCACTGACTCCATGGGCCGCAAAATTGCCAATCTGATTACCTACTCCGATCTAATCTCCCTCAACAACAACGCTCAACCCACTTATTACAACTACAACAATCACAACACAGCAATCGATCTGATTCTCGTCTCTGCCTGGATCGCTACACTTACTTATTGGATACCTCTTTTCTTCAGTCATGGTAGTAGGCATCGTATGATCGCCATCGACTTCCCACTATCAAAGGTCGTAGCTTCTCCCCAAAATCGTCATTCACTAACGCCACGAAACCTTCACACTACCGAAACACTCATAATTGGCTCGACAACAACAACTGGACGTACGATGATCTTGTGAACCAGTATCAGACCCAATTAGCGACCCTCCGCACCACTAATCCCCATAGAAGTCACGCAACTCCGACTTGGTAAACCATTAAATGCAGGGAAAATCTGGCCCGTAACACCACATGTACTATAAATTCACAAAAAAAAAAATTAACGCGACGAACTGGATGGCTTACAAATAGGCCAAATCGGCGCTACAACAGACTATTTTAGATAGCAAGCGCGATTACTGGAAACATATGGCCACCACCCATCATTATAAAATCATCCGCCAGCTATGCATGACTGCTTCCACCGTGTCAGACTACTTCATTCTCAAAGCCAATAGTGACGTCATAACGGACTCACACACGCAAGCAGAAGTATTGGCACATCACTTTATTCCGCATTATACTGAAATCACCTTAGACATCCGTCTCTCTCCTACCGCGAACACGTCGACCGGCCTGGCCGACTACAACTCTCACTTCACGATTCAGGAGTTGAATGTGGCCATCCAAAAGGTACACTACCCCTGGCACGAACGGCATATCCATGTCCGCCCTGCATAATTTCACCCTGCCCACTAGAATTCACCTCCTGACGATCCTCAATCGTATTTGGATCACTGACAAAATCTCTCTTACTATGAAAGAAATCACTATTATTCCCATCTGCAAACCCAAGAAAGACTCGTGCAACGTTTCCAACTAGCGCCTCATTGCCCTTACGTCAACCATCTCTAAGAACCTGGAGAGAATAATCCTCAACGTTGGACTCACTTAGCCGCTTCAAATAGCTGGTTTAACTACAAACATCTTGGCGGCCTACATGGCAAAGACACCAGGGACCTCCTAACCCACCCAATGTCCTACGTTCACACCCTTCGCAATACCAACCAATACCTGAATATCGTCATTCTAGATATTAGCTATGCCTATGATTCCGTCAAGCCACCTTCTCTTTCAAAAAGCCATTCAGAAAGGTCTCAAAGGTCTCCCTTCTTTGGCTTCAGGATTTCCTCACTAATAGGCTTAATTTAGTTTTGGTTCAACACTTTTATACCTAAAAGTTACACTTTGTAAATACAAATCTCACTTCGAACTACAAACAAATGTTGATTAAAATTTTTTTTTTTATTTTTCAACTTGTCGCTTGAACCTTTTCTGAAGCCGATTAAAAAATAGTTGAAGAATTTGAGCATTTTCAAGGTGTTTATTGAGATGAATTTCCAAGAGGTGAATATCGTTATGTCATATGATATAACTGTGCTAAGCGCGTAATTTTGAATCGCGAACAATGTATATTTGAACAATGTATACTGTTTCTCTATCGCACAATTTTAAAATCACATACAATAGAACCTCGATTATCCGGACCTCTATTATCCGGATTTTCGATTATCCGGATTGTTCAAAATAAACAAAAATTTTACGAATTTGCTGATTTGCACTTGGCGAATTACGATACTGTTTATGTACGTGATGGAATGCATAACTTTTTTTGTTTCAACAACGTCT